ACTCATTATATTCTCAAATGGCTGCATAAGTGTCAACTAATCAGCATACCTTTTGCCAGGGAGTATCTGTATCATTGCATTACAGATAAAGAATTGAAAGCGAGACATGTCTTTAGTCTAAGCCCCCTCCGTTAATGGCAATAAATTAATGTTAAAAGCAAGCATAAAATGCAGGATTTCCTAGCTCTGATTCCTGTTCATTGTGCACTAGCACATGCTGGTGAGATCTCTTGGATGTTTTCCTGTTGAGAACATCATTTTTCCTCTGGAGTTAGAGTGGCAGAGGTTCCAGGAAGAAATATGTTTTCTGTACAGGTAAAGTTTTCCCTTTAATAGCAGTCAGTGACTCATGCTGAAAAAAAGACCTGAGAATATGTTCCTCTAAATTCTTCTATCTTCCTAGATGATCTGCAGCTGTTTGCTGAGAGCTACTGTACTGAGTGAAAAAGGACAATTTCTGGTTAATTTGTTTGTTACCATAAAGTCAAGTGCAAGTAGTAATATAGAAATTGATGGCACGTTTTCAAACATAAAAAGCATTAAGAGAAGATTCCACATCCCTGGCAAATATCAGATTGATTTCCACAGCTCCTCCCTTTTCTCCATACTGATATTCAAGGAAACTTTTTGGACTGTTTCTTGGCGGGATGTGTCTACCTGCAGCACTGTTAAAGTCAGTGAAACCCCCACCAAGAGAGGTTGTTTTGTCATCCTTAGGAACAGTAATCTCCAGTTCTCCATAGAGCCAAATCCAGTCCCAAAAGAGTTTTAGCTACATGAGGCTCACATGAACTGAAATTTCATTTTCCTGGCCTGGCCTGTGCATGTGTATAATCTTATTCTTGATCTCCATGAGATGGATTTTTCATTCTATCTTTCTTCCCTGTCTCTTTGTACCTTTTTTCTGTGTCTCCTCCTGTGTCCTGCAGAGCTGGCTTTACCTGTCAGGGTTCCTTGGAGATATCTCTGCTGCTTTCCATCAGTTGGGGTGGAATGGGCTGTTTGGCCATGTTGGGATGTCTTTTCCCAGATCATGGTGGGTCTCCGGCGTGCTCCTTGCTGACTTCTAGCCTTCTGACCAGGACACCAGGGAAGCAATGAAGGTGCTCATGACCCCTCAGCTTCATACCCAAACCCACTGCCCAATGCCTAGGGCTGAGGGTTTTATCCTGGGAGGGGTGGGAGAGGTGCCCTGATGTCTTCTCAAGGCTGCTTAGAATCTATCTACAGAAGTCATCTGCAGCCTCAGTGTCCTACTCTTCTGGTTAATAGGTATATTTAGCAAGATCAGATGCTGCCTCAAAATACTCCTGCAGCAGATTCCTCCTGGCTTGGATAGCAGCACTGCTGCCTGGCCAGAGTTTGCTGGACGCTGTTCACGAATGGGAATGGATTTAGGGGCTGGGTTTCTGTTGGGTCCAGCCCTAATAACTTTGTCAGTGATTTAGAAGGGAGCACAAATGGTGATGATATTGATTTTTATGCTTATTTTTATGCGTATTGTCAAGGGCAAAGAAATACCCCCAAGGGGACCTAGAGGGTATTGTCAGAGAGAATTGTAAAATAGGAACAGAGTTGTAGATAGGTTTTCTCTATGTCTAGAGCAAATCAGAAACATGAAGGACTGAAGAGGAATTTGGAAGAGGGCAAGGTCTGAAACAGACTTGGAGGTGATAAGACCAAATCAGGAATAAGTTCCAGCACAACATGGCTGTGAAGGGAAGATTTGCCATATGGCAAATAATCCTTGAGGAATTATCATGGAACGGGTCAGATATAGGATGTTTGACTACCATGGATGGCTCTGTTGGGCAGCGTCCCCCAGGAGCTGCTCCACAGCAGTGGGGGAAGTTCAGGAGGGGGGTGCTGGACTTTTTCTGAAAAAAAGGGCAATTTTTTAATCAATTGAAATTGTTTATAATTTTCTGCCAAACAGGATGACTCATTCTGGCAGTCTACCCTCTCCACCCTCCCCCTCAGACAAACAAACAAAGCCAATAAATTGCAAAAAATAAAATAATCTGAAAAGATAAGAATTCAAAATTTCCCTTTTGGTATATTCAAAACAAGGGGCTTAATGTTTTTTTTCAAGACATCATTTCAGAGCTAGATTCAATGACCATAACTTGAAAAAATGAGGTAAAAATAACTCCAAAAATAAAATGCCTCATTTTGAGTTAAAGAAACATTTTGTTCAGCGAGATGCACAAAGCATTCAGTTTTGGGCCAACATGAGATGATTTTTTTTTTCCCTAGCAATCTCTTGGTTGAGGCAGTGAACCAAGAAGTCAATTATTCACAGAGCTGTAGCAAGATTAAGGTAAGGATGGAAAGCAGAACTAAAATGAGAAACTGAGGGAGAAAATTTGGGGTTGAATGACCAAGTAAATCTTCATTCCTCCGAGTGAAACGTGGTAGTTGATGGTGTAAGCGCTCAGGACCCTTTGCCGTCAGCCCGAGCGGATGGGCTACCTGCCAGAAGACGAAACTGGCAGTGTCCTTGTGGCATCTGGGGGTCCCCAGTGGCGTGGCAGGAGAGCAGGGTGCTGTGATGGGTTGGTGTGACCCAAGAGGTGTCCTCCACCCGTTGGGATGCGGGGACCACGCTGCGGTGCTCTTGGGGATGTGTCCTCACCCCGCACCACTGCTGCTGTAAATGCAGCATCGTCTGGGAGGGGAAAAAAATAGAAGGGAAAAAAAAAAAAAAAAAAGGAA